ACCCACTCGTTTACATGCAGAGTATTGTTCGTGAGTTGGTCGGTTTCGCATGTATGCGTAGTATATGTATGTTAACGTTTCCTATTTCCTCAGGGTTCCGATGAGAAAACAAAATAATGAGAAAAATAAACAATCAGTTAAATCTATTTTTCTCCCATCCATATTGTCTCAACCATTTATTTATTTGAGTTATAGATTTTAAGTCAAACGAGTTGTGGTGATTTAGTGCAGCGTACATAAATAAATTATCAATTATAAATAATCGTGTATTTTTTGTTTGAAATATTGAAAAATAATGTATGTGTTAGTAATCTACCTATACTGTTATAATTATTAATATTATTTGAATTTCTTTGTTATTAATATTTAATTATAAATTTAGAAATTAAAATAAGTTAATATCTTTCGGGTGTCCAACATCGCGTATAAATAATGAACCAAAATATGCTAGTTACAAAATTAAATTGAACGAAAAAAACATTGATTATAAAATTTAGATCTACATCAAAGCATCCCACGGTTGTAGATGTAGGTGCATAGAAAATAATAATAATTTCTTTTAAAGAAAAACAATATTGTAAATGGTGAATAGCGAGCAGATCACAAAGGTTTGTATCAATGGTTGATTATTATTGTTTCATCCCGTGGGCTATAATCAGAACAGGCCTACATATTATTATTATGATGTATATAGTGGACCACCAACGTAACCATACGTCTTAAGATTAGTTATACCTGCGGACGGATTCCATTATTTTCGGTATGTTACTGTAACATCTCGGATTTATGGGCCAGAAGAAAATACGAACTCTGTTCGTTTCCCATGCAAATCAAGATTCTAATAACACCATTTAGGTATACCACCTAGCATGTACCTATTCTCTGTAGGTACATACCAAACGTACATAACAATTGAACACAATAATACACAATTTATACAGGGCGCCGTTATTGTTATATCCTATGTGCATTTAAATCGCCATTGTAATTCTAGGTAATTTAAATATTATATACAAAATGAATTATGAATTAAAAAGAATAGCAATAACAATGTTTTGTGCGCGTTTAACGGTATGTAATTTTGCGCAAGTGTCATGACCGAAACCATGTACCGGTAGCTTAACAAATTTCAAATGTGCTCGTAGGATACCGTTGTTTTAGCATGCTCCGTTTATTAATTGCGTTTATAGTGGTTAACTCACTAGGTAGTCAGGTTAGAGGTACCTATCCTAATAAACAAAACTGCCATACCTAGTCCATAACATTGTTCCAGTAACTTTTTGACTGTATGAATATTCATTTTTTTTTATATATAAATTTTTGATGTGACTCGAACTTAACGAACGTGGTATTATACAACTATGTTAATATAAGAAACTACCACCTATACAGATATTTAAATTTCCATATGTCTGTAGGAGATTACGGTAGGTAACGTAAAAATAAGCATCGACTAATTTAGTTAAAAATTATACATTAAAAACCGGGGAAGTGGTTCTGCTGTATATAGTTGCATTTGAGTGTATCTACCTCGGCATTGAGTAGGTCATCGCAGTAATGGTTGTGTTGTATTTGAATTCAATGAAAAATCATCCATGTTTTAGAATACTGTAAGAGTGTAAGACCAAATTAAATTAATAACCTTCTTTACAATGTTATGATTCCCGTTTTTTCCTAATTTGTTTATTGTACTTCCCAATTGTTTTAAAAAGTTACTGGTTGTTTTTGATTTTTTCGGTAATTTTGTTCCCCTTCCCCCATGAATGTACTTAAGCACCAACTAAATATAATTTGATGCCTGTATCTACCATCAAATTTGATAGTCGATCCATTTTTTACTGCTCGTAAAGACGATGACAGACACAAATATATTTATGTATAAAAAAACACACATCATATTGTATATAATAAATACATTCATCGCTTCGCTCTGAATCTAAAACATAATTTTATACAAAAAAAAAAATGTACAACTGTATCTCAAATATTTGATAAAAAAACACGTCTAACGTCTATTATTGATGACTTAATACGAATTCTAATTCAAAAACCAGTTACATACAATATCACGTCCATTTCAAATATTATTATTCCGTTAAAACCACGTTTTCGTGTTAGCATCATTGTTTTATTCGTGCTCATTGAATAATGTAACAAATGATCAATACCTATCAAAATTTGCATATTATAAAGCGTACAAACAATTGGTGATTATTGTACAATTGCTATAAGAAACAGAGCAAATACCGGTTATCGAATGTTAAACTCTTGTGGAGTTAACTGATAACGACATACACGTCGATAATACCCCTAAACCGCACTTGTACGAACTGATTGACGACAGCCCACATTTGGTTCACACGGTATGAAAGTACATTACCGACCGTCTGAATGGTCATAATTTACATATTACACACACAGTGAGTCACCGACATTTCGGGAGATTCGGCACTGACAAATGAAAAAAAAAAACAGTTGAAGATTATTGATCGCCAGGGGAGGTCTGTTTGATGATAGGTACTCAACTATCTGCTACTTTCGTCAGCCGTCAAAACCTGTTATTATAAATTCAGGGACTATACATTGTTTTAAAAGGGGCTTTTAGAAAGCGAACGTAATTCGTTCACAAATTTTGTTTAAAAATGTAGTATAATTCCTTATATAATATATTATAATAATATTATATTTATGATAATATCAAACAACAACTCTTATTACCTATATATACTTAGTGATAATTTAATTCACTTACTGACTATTAACTACTATATAATACATTTATATCTATAAATATCTTAAATTATATGAGTACATCAAGATATTATATGGACATAAAATAAAACGTGCTATTTAGTATTACATAAATTACCCAAGAACATATATTTTAAGTACTCTTCAGTTCTCCAGTACTTATTTTATTTATATTATATTAGTATTTTAATGTGAATTTATATACAAAAATAATACTTTAAACTATAATACTACACACAATAATAAAAGTAGGTAACTTGGAGTATTAATTTACCAATACAATATTTGAATTTGAAAATTGATCAATTAAACTAAACCAATCGTTTTAGATACATTACTATTTACTCTGTACTCATATATTTTATATGATTGTGTTCCACAATTTTAAAATTATTCGTTGAAATATGTATATGTATGTCTATCCATACTCTACTCTTATAGGTACACATTATGTATGATTTATAACGTTATTGCTTCCAGTCTATGGTACATTATATATTACTGACATATTGTGCATTAACTAAACCGCTTATGCATCAGCAATCAAAATAGTTATGATACTTCACCACAATTTTAATAAAAATAAAGCAATATTGATTAATTACCGCCTAGTTGGGATTTTGTATATTATACCTAATGTAATATCTATTTTATGAACAATAATGATCACAACAACGACGATACTTGGGTCGCGTACTCGCTTACCTATATTATTTGCATGATGTCTAAATTATTATTTTTTGATAACCTAACCTAACCTAACCATATTTAAATGAATATGCGTTTTTAAATGTAGAATAAATCTCGTTATTAAACTATAATGTATTCTGTGGGTATGTATACAATGTGCTTAGCATTCAGAATCTCGAATTTTGCTTTTTTGTCTTTTACTAACGAAATGGGAATTGGAACCGGAAGTAAACGGAATAACACGAATACGCTCATATGCGTATACATATATATTATGTATGGCGTATCTTGTCTTGGATCTGTATGTGTATGTACCATTAAAACCAGATAGAACCGGTCACTGTGTTACAACCGGTCGATGGCCGCCAGTGCGCCTCTTGTTTTTCGTGATCAAATATTGTAAAATATTTTTAATGCCAATAAAATTGATACTGCATTATGCCCCCGATTATCTTAAATATTATTATTTTACAACGAAAATATGAGTATAGAAAACCGATGTGGCGATGTCTATGGAGAAACTATGGAAGTTCAAATTATAGAAACGGAATACATCTTAATAGAAAATATTATAATATAGATACGGACATTTAAAAATATATTTACCAACAGAAACGAAGTTTTCCAAATATTATGTTATATACTTGTGGAGTATCATTTTTTTATATCCAATTTATAACCTAATAGTGTTTTTTTTAAATATTCATCACTATTATTATAAATTCAGTCATGATAAAACTATAGCATAATTAAGCATTTTACAAATATTATTGCTGTGTATATAACCTAATTATTATACAATACTATGAAACAAATTGTTTGCTCATAGTTCACACTGTGATCAAATATCGTACTACAAACTAAAAGTATCATTAAGCATTTTTTACAAATCACAAATAGGTACTATAGGTTTCCATAATTTTCTAGATTTAAACAGAGATTATTTAAAAACATGTATCTGGCTGATTTATATTATGTTATAATAATTTAATAATTTTCTTTTACCAAATAATATATACTGTTTAAATTTATTTTATTGAATTCTTCCAAGAGAAAATAACATAAGTTAAAAATCTTTTATTAGAATTACACTGTTAATATTAAAATTCCCATGTTTTTCTCAATATCATGATATATTAATTATGTATCCTTTTTTATATTCTAATTAATATTAATTATCTATTATATGGTATTAATATAGTATTAATTATACACCCATTATATGCATACAGTATTATTGTATAATAATTGATTTCAAGTCGAATAAAATGTTTTGTAACTTTAAAACTTAAGTCTTTTTTTTATGTATATTTAAATTAAGGCTTCGACCACTAAGGTCATTAGCCTGATATTGTTTGAGGGGAAACGGTTGGTTGAAACACGTTTGTATGTATGGCAAGGATATGTTGCTAAAAACCAGAGTGGTCACCCATCCGAGTGCTGGAAACGACCGGCAGGTACGTACGCTCAGAGCATTTCAGCAGATTGAGAGTACGAACGCGCCTCGCCAAGCCATAAAACTTAAGTTATAAATAATAATATATTATATAAGTACTTACTTCTTTGGAGTTTACAGCCGGCATTTTCTGTTTCACCCCGTTTTTTGTCGCTACGGTACTTGTGCTCGTCTGCGGTATCCTGGTTGGTTTACCCGAAACCCCAATGCCGTTTTTGACATTTTGGTTACCGGTGAATTTCATCTTGAGCTCTGCAACGCTCTCTGTTTTCCGTATATAAGGCCACATCCTGCTATTATCGTGTCTGTAACATTATTTCACGATATAATCACCATAATACCAATAATATTTTATGCATATAATAACAATAATATATAGAATAAACCTATTGTACATTTTTACTGGATTTAAATCGTAATTTTTGACAGTCCGTCACTAGGAAGACCGGGGTCTATTGAACCAGAAATCGTCAGGTCTTTAACCGGAAATTCAAGGATTCTGAAGCAGTAGGTTTGGTGAACCAATAATATTATTATTATTATTACTTCTTTTTTTGAGATTTAGTGTCTCACTCGCTTATGGGTAGCCAACTGAGTACATACCGCCCCACGCTTTGTGTATGTAATTTAAAAATGATTAGTGAACCGTGAAGAATACACGTTTCATCGACTGTTCGAATGAAAAAAAAATCAAATGCACGAAAGCCTTCGGGCGGTTAAGAATTCAAAGTAAAATAAAATATCGGTAGACCACTGCGAGAGATTGTTTGCAAGATGCACTTTGAATCGTAATAATATACAATAATATATTGATGATTTAAAACCAGTAAATAATATATTTTAAGTTTTAATTGTCGTTTAGCACACAAATGATTTTATGTCTTTCGGGGATGTTAATAATTCAGAGAAAAATATATTACTAAAAAAGTTATATTATGATTTGAGAGCTTTAAAAGTACATCTACAACGCATTTTAATATTCGTCTTTGATAATAGTTTAGGTACAACAGTTTTTCAAAATAATAGTCGTTTTATACATGAAAGTCAATAGTAAAATGTATTAGGTACATACAACTGCTATTATACAAATTTAACACCGTGTATGTATTTTTTAATTGTTACAAATATAATTAAAATTATTTTTACAGTAATTTTTTTAAAACTCATGATTATTCATAAGGTTGTTAAAAACTGTAATAGTCAATCTATAACGAATAATTTAAACCATTGATCCTTTCAAGCAATTATTGAGAAAACTCTAAGCCCATGTATACTAAGTGCTAATACTTGCAAACATTCTAAAAAAATCATAATTCATATCAACAGTTTGGCGTAAAAAAATCAAATATGTACCTATAATACATGTACCTACGAATGTTACGTATTAAGTGCTATAATAAAACTAAAAAGACTTAATCGCAAGAGTAGTGCCATTATTTTGTCAAGGAAAATGACCGCTAATATAATAACCACCGACACGAATTCGTCGCATTTATTTACAGGTTTAAAAACGTAATGGTAATAAAAAAAAAATTACTATGCGCATATGTGTGTAAATTTGTTAAATTGGTCGTATTTTACGACGACTAGATGAACGGTAATCGTCTTCGTCGGTGGCGCGCGCCACAAGGACATAATATTAACTATCGATAGCGGCAGCAGAACACAACACCCGTTGAGACCGACGAGGACCATAATATATATTATATACATTATAAAGGTACGATAGACCGGTGTCATCATTATTATCATTATTATTATAAGACGGTCATCGTATTCATTGCGTTAAATTGACTGTGCGATGGACCGGAGCAGTTCTGCAGAGAGGGCTAACCGGCGTGCGGTGCGGCGATATTATATAGACAAGACGCGTTAATGTCTCTTCCGCGCGTTCGAAATAAAACAGTCATTATATACATTATTATACGTTCCGTCCTCTCTTTCACACTGTCCCGCCGTGCACCGGCTTAGACACACCGGTGCAGCGTGCGCGCGCGTGTGTGTGTGTGTGTGTGTGTGTGTGTGTGTGTGTGTGTGTGTGTGTGTGTGTGTGTGTGTGTGTGCGCTCGCGTGTGTGTTGTTTTTATGGACACTGCGGTAGAAATAAAAAATATTGCACCGGAGTACCGGACCATAAACGTTTCGGAGCATTAACATTCTTTTGAGGTTTTAAAATCGTGAGCCCTCCCGATAACATTTCATTTTTGTCATCGACCGCGAGGCCCTCCCACGTAGGCGAGCACAGCGCTGACCATACACATATTATTACATAGATCCTATATTTTTTTCCAAGTATAACACACGTACAGTAGTATATACGTATAATATCATAATAACTACATAATATATTGTTATATTCGTATAATACAATATACCTATTACGTAATATTACTGTTGTAGAGTTGTGTGTGATCGAGCCTTAGCCGTAAGTCATCATTAACATCGACGACGGAGAGAAGATAGGGAAAGGCATTATATACATTTTTTTCCACGCAGGTCTATTTCCACCTACTATATAGTAAGTTGTCGATAAAAAGGGATGAAAAAAACATGTAATGTTATATCTTAGAGGTGCCTATACCTAGATGCTAACTTTATCAATTCTAGTGCGGAGGTCAAGTGCAGGACACTGGGTAAATTTGAATAGTTTAGTATCAGTATTGTACGTATGATAATATAGTTTGTCTATAAAATCTACACAGTTCGCAAGACCACGAAGACTACAAATCAAACAACGACATACTATATTTATTAAAAAAAAACATACTACAAAGTTTTAGTTTCATTGAATTAAGTGATTTAGGTATAAGAGAGGTATACTCGTAAGATAATTTAGAGATGTGCCTAATACTTACTGAAAAAAACATATCCAACTTCCTGCACAAAACACTCAATTCACATATTTTATTTCATTGGTTCACTATCAAACATCTATAACATGTAGTACACAATATGCTAATTAATAAAATACAAATTAAATTTCAAATATTTTTGTTTTAGATCAAAAAATGTTGAGTTTCATAAGAAAAAACCCGTATTTTAAGAACAATCGTATCACCTAGCAATATTGGTAGACATATATTATTTAAAATTTAATAGACACAAAACTATTGTGCTTTCATAGTTCAAACATAATATTCTTATATTTCATTAAATACGTTTTTACCTTTAGATACATTTTAAATCATTTTTCACAATTATAGGGAAAACCACTATGAACTTCGATAAATAATTGACATTTCACTCATTTGATATACAATATTGATACCTATAGTCATAAAACACGACGTGACTTGTATAGAAAAATTCTTATTTAAATTTATTATTATTATGTATAGCATACTTATACATTCAAATATGTTCAAAATGAACGATAATATTTAATATTATCTTTCTGATATATTCTGCACAGTTGAAAATAATATTCAACAACTGAACAATTTTATAGTTATGATTTTATGAAGTAACTTACTAACATATGGAACACGACATAAGCAATTTTAGTTCGATTATCCAGATTAGAAAATATGCGAGCTGTGCTAAATTATATCGAGGAAGATAAAGAACACCGTCCGCCCGCCAAAACTTTAATGATATTTTAGCAATTTAGCATGTTCTAATACATTTTACTAATTATAGAGGTAACTTTATACACTCAAAAGAAACATTAGTTCTATATCGGTGCACTATATTTTTCAATTTAAGCACTGACAATAATTATTATTTTCTATAAATAATGAAATAACTTTTTAAAATTGGTACAATATATATAATTTTATTTTACAATACTTTCACCTTATGCTTCCATGAGAAAATAATTACAAAGAAAATATCGTGCTCGATAGTTTCAGAAAAATAATAAAAAACGTAATATTGTGTGTGTGCCCCATAAAATTAAGCTTTATCGAATAGAGTATTGAAAATAGAAACTATTAAGAAGAATCATGAATTTAAAATAATATATATTATCTTAACAAGTAAGAACAAATAAGTCAAAAATATTATTCTAATTAGTTTAATTTAACATTAATAAGAATAACTTTATAAACATATTGTGAGTATGAGAATATGGCTTTATATTTTATATTCTCCTTATTTTTCTACATTTTTCCCAATTGCATTTCATACTTGCCGTCTTTTATTAAAATCATTTTTGAATAGCGTTATTATCCCCATTTGTATAGTAATAATACCTATATGTTAATCTGTGATAAATGATAATATCTTAATTTTTATAGTATAGGGGCAATACCTATGTCAATATTGTCAACACTAGTCCACAGATATTTAATAATACTAAATTACTTAACAAATTATATTAAAGAAGCAAGGTATCCTAAGGTAATATGAACCATAGAAAAGATAGAAAAATATTTTTGATATTAAAAATAAAAATAAATTTTTAATTTCCCACCACCGTGTTTGAGTTTAAACTAAAAAAATACAACAGAAAATAATTCATATAAATAGTAAATACCTACCTACTTCAATTTGAATTAATTAATAATTTATATTGATTGCATTTTTAAATAATTATATTTATTGCTAGAAAACAATGATTACACTTTTGTTTTAATATGTATTCAAAATCATAATAGAAACTAGGTACAATTACGTTCAAACCTAATCAAGAATAGATTATACAATTATGAATTCATGATACCTACGTATAGGTATGTATTTGTTGTTGAAGTTTAAATTCTGCACTTAATGTTTATTTAGCTAAAATACTTACCATTATAATTAAATAATTATAGAAACAATAAACGCCCACAAAAATATAAACCTTTTAATAATCCATTTACCTTGCAATTAACCATTGCATTATATAAATAAAATATAGTAAAACAAGTTATTAACTATTATTATTATTCATATTTCCCTTGCCTTTTTCGTCTATACATTTAATTATTTTTAATTTGTTTTAAATGTTGTATTTAATTTAATTTTTAAGTTATTTCTGTGAATCTATCCGTGTTACTATTTTATTTTTAAATGCGATAGTGAATAATAATATACAAGTTGGTTTATAATTTATAAATTCACCTTTTAATAGTTGGATTTAATTTATATTTATCTAATACAAATTCAAATGTGTATTTGATATTACACTCACGATTTACTGTACATGATTCATGAACACGTATGAATGAGAAAATGTATAATAATATATATATACAAAATTAGATTTTCAGATTTTTATAGATATGAAAAAGTATTATAATATTGGTTATTCTAGGTATGTAATGGTAGGTACTTTAAAAATATATATATGTGTGTGTATAGTATACATTTTTTTAAAAGTTAAAATATTACATACATGTATTATAATGCATTAATACTTAATCCAAAAAAATAGACCACTAGATTAAATTTGAAGTTGAACACTGAATGAAAAAAAAACCATTAAAAACAACATTCATACAACTTTTATTTTTTCTATTTAATGGAAAATTATAAGTCATAACTATTTTTTCATACGATTTGAATTACATATTTATTCTTTAACAAGATCTGTATTTCTTATCTTCACTTTTTGTTAAAAATTTTAGTTACAATCAATATGGTATTAATAGTACAGTAAGGCACTAATACACTATTGTTTTTGAAAAGTAAATATAACTATGAATTTTATTTTATAAAAAGGAATATATTATCCAGGCTAAATGTTAGTATGTAAAAGTAAGTTACTGTGTCTTGTTAGTAAGTACTTGTAAAATATGTCACTTAAACAAATCACTAAACTGTATTATAACTCCTTTAAAATAATAAATTAGGCAACAGTTTAAACATATTATCATATTATTTTAATATTATTATTATTATTATTATTATTGTTATTGTTATAATTATTATACCTACTAAATATTCATCAAAATATTGTTATTTTATCATGCATTAATAAATTGCATAAACAATTACTTAATTAATAATATATTCCTACCATCCTGTGCTGTTTAATTTTCATTTTTTAATGAACTATAGATGTATGTAAAACAATCGAGTAAGCGAGTTGGGTGGTCCATTAAAGTGCAGCCTGTCGATATAGTGAATTAAATTCAAGACGATTTTGATAGTCTTAATTAAAATTATCCCAAATTTAATAATTAAAAAGCACTTATTTACATTTTTACAACATTTTTTTAGTAACTACAGTTTTTCATATTTTTTATGAAAACGATATTGATTTAAATTAGTATTTTTATGACTTATAATAATATATGAGTTTACAATATCTATAAAATTGCTGTGTGAAATGATTTACTACAAAATAATTTAATATTTGTTAAATTATTATTTGCTTTGTTTGGATAATATTATAATTATTTACTAACAAATCACCTACTTTTAACATCATCAATTCATAATGATAATTAAGTAGGTATACCTACTATGAATTATTTAATACGATAAAAGTATTTATTTATTTATTTTACTTGATAATAATTTAAAATGCATTATTGAACTTTTGATAGTTTTATATATGATCATTATGTACCTATTTGTAATATTATGGTTTATTAACAATGTATGTAAAAAAAATTAATTTAAAAAAATTGGTTGTTAAACTATATTATACTCGTCTGCGTGAATTTCAAGTATATATTCAACTACAGCACAAGAGTGTGCCAACGCATGCTAGTTGGTTTGTAGCGGTTGTATTTTTTAGATGGCGTATTGTAAAAAAAAAAGGTAACACGAGGCTTATTTGACTAACTGTGTTTCCCACGAAAAAAAACAATTAAGATATAGGCACTATATCCTTACACACACAAACACACACACACGAACGAGTCCATTACACATTTAGTGGAATGGCCATGTATGTGTAGGTCAACGGATTGCGAGCCAGCTACATCGGTGTCTATTTTTGTTTTTTTGACCGATGCGTGTTGTTTAATGTTTATCACTAAGGAACCCCAACATTAGATGATCTGGACTAGCAGTAAAAAAAATACTCAACGTGATACGTTTATTATTTTCAACGAACTTAATAACGTGCAATATTAGATTTTTCTTACCTCGCTCTATTAGGTACCCTCATAACATAGTTTTAATGAAAACCATTTATAGATTTCTCGCACCACATAAATTAATTTTTTATTAGTTCAAGCTTAATTTGATAAAATATCGATATACGTTCCAATATAACATTTATTATGTATTAATAAAATTGTAATAATGCAGTTTTATTTGTTTACTTAAAAAAAAAATACATGTTGTTTCAACTGAACAGTTATAAAAAAGATTCAAATTCATCGAAAGTAGGTTACTTATAATTAACTATTGTAATTTATCGAAAACAAAAACACAAACAAAATTACACTATTTAAAAAACTAGAATTCTGTTTAGTGTTTATATAGCATTAACTAAACTGAATTTTTTAATGACCAGCAACCATATGGGTACGTATGGCACAAGGCAATATTATTTTAAATAATTTCAAACTACTGAAGGAAATATTAGGCCCAACTATTTTATGGCATCTGAGTGGGTTTTGTCTGAAGGTACTTATGTACAAATTACGTATAATACGCATATTATCCAATAGTATAGTACGTTAAAACAGAAATATTGTATATCATATACATGCTATAATATTTAAGAATATTTAAGTATTGAGTTTTAAATATTGTATACTAAAAGGGAAAGGTAAAAATAAATTATGCTAAAAATTTGTTATTCAAAACTAATAGTTGTATTTTATTTTAAGAAACGTGCTTTAGGTATTATGCAATAGTGTTTTTAATGTAAATATTTCATACCTAATACGTAGGTACTAGGTACATATACTTTAATTATAAAAATACCATTTTCACAGGAAACCGAAAAGTTTTAGGTTAGTTAAATATTTAAATGCTTTGTATGTATAATGAGAAAAATTTAAGTTTATAAGTTTAAAAAAATTTAATATTTTTAATACTTGTCTTTTTAATGTTGGATCTTATTGAATTATAAAGGCCAGTATTTTCACGGTTAAAAAACAAAATGATTAAAGACTGACGTTGTATATTCGTACAACTTATGAAAATGTTTTCAAATTGAATAGTGTATAAAATGTATAAACTTTAAAGACGCTTAAAATTTAAAGTTACTACATATAGATAACATAACTTATAAGTAATTGTATAACTTAAATTCCTAAGAAACAATTCAAATTGAATGTACCTACTATTGTTTAACCGTTAGTATCATATAATAATTAATAGGTACTTAAGTCTACAACAATGTGGTTTATCATTTTTATTGTCATAAATAAGCGATGGACTGATTATAAAGTAACTTTTATACGATTAAAACATTTATGTGATCTATACGAATTTCGTAATAAATTGAGAGGTAAGTACGGTTAAACCTTTTTTTACTCACTATTTGTATTTATTTATAATAATACAGTAAGTAAATATGAAGGCATGCGCACAGTATATTATAGTGAATAAAAAAAATGTATGAAGCAGACTGTTCATTGATAAAGTTCTTCTGAACTTGATCTTAATTAATTTAAGAGTTTACGATCCGGCGTCGTTTGAGACAACGTGGTGCTATGTGGATAAACTTTAAATATTATACTGAAATAAAAATCCTCATTTCACTTATATAGTAAATATATATATATATAAAAAACAACTCAAACACCTGAATACGAATTAAATATTAGGCTGAATTATATCAACAACAAAAATATTTTTATTCAAATATGAAATAGGTAGTCAAATACTTAGTATCTGCAACCATTGGTATACGTATTTAATCATTGTTTCATTTATTATAATAAACGTGAGTAGGTTATTCAAACTTTATTTTTATAAATAATAGTTCATAAATAATAACAGAACACAAAAAGTCAAATCAAGTTTATCGAAAAAAAAATTATTATTAATAATCAAAACATTTTATCGTGACAAACTATGCAAAAATAATAATATCATCATCACACAGCTAGTAAACGGAATCGGGAACATTGTATTTTATAATAAATTATGTATGATTAGAAGGTTCTGAATTTGAAATATTTCAAAATTGAAAATTTCACTCTTCTTGAAATATTTTAATGAAATTATAAAAAATAATTTTTTTAAATGTATTTTGTTGTAGATGATTAGAAATGATTATTGATGACACACAGAAAATATCGATAATGAACGACTTATGAACAAAGGTTTATACATTACAATATGTTAATGGTTAAAAATTAGATATAAATAGTATTATAATATTATCAGTTAATTTATCACTTATCAATTGGGCCCATGTTGGCTGTTGAATAATAAACCAACTTTTAAAAATGTTCTCTTGTTGTAATTTTATGACTATAAGCTTTTATATACAATACACAGCTTTTTTTTTAAATTTTAATTTTTTACATAAATGAAATATTTCAAGAAAAAAAAATTTTAGACCTCATAATATAATATTATAGACAAAATAGGTTACAATTAGTATTTAATTAAATTGTATAAACACGTTACTGCTTAATGTTGGGTATGTAACTTCTCATATTTGAACTCGCAATAGTTTGAGACTCTGAGCTAAGTCAGTTTAAAAAAAAATGTATTTAATCAAAAGTCACTTTTAATTATTTATCGAAAACTAAAATATATATTAAATGATTTTCATTGGAAAAAATCAAAAATATGTACTCACAATAAAATTCTATGATTTTTTTTCTTGACAATACATACGTCATAAACATATTGCATTGTATAAAACCCAGGGGTAAAATCAAATAACAATGCGATGAGATAAAATAAAAATTAAATTCATCTGTCTTGCACACCAATTTTATTGTTCTTAACTTTAACCATAGATCCATTTAAGATAGTAATAAATTGTAAGTATGCAATTTGACTTTCAAGCTTGAAACATTTACATTCGACTTCGCCGTTTCGGATAATATATGCGCATGCGGTGTAGTGATATAATATATATGGTGATGATATTATGTACCTTAAAAAATAGTTATACCTGTGAGTTATGACGATGATGACGAAATGTCAACAGCATGTGTGTCCCGAATTTAGGGTAAGCGTCCCTCTCGCGTTGATTTTTTACGGTATTTAAACGAACTAAAATAATAATTAGTATTATTATTTAATTATTTATTACAGACGCGTTGCAGCGGACGGACACCGCGACGGCACCACTCCGGACTCCGATCTGGCCGGCCAGTCAAAAGACGATATTATATTTTGCAGTTCAGTCGGCGTGGTTATTTAATAATCATTATATTATTATTATTTTTAACTCGACGCGGTCGATGCGGCGAAAACCCGAACGCCACCGCCGCTGCCACTGACATCGTTACGCGAATATACTACCGTAATATACTCGTCGTCGGTTATATATACGTATTATTAAAACTTCATAAAAATTTTCTTAAAAAATAACTCGTTATATTATTATACACTACTCGTTACAATCGTTACTATTAAATAATAAGTAATAGCAATGTAAAATGACGAGTAGGTATAATTATTAATGCGTACAACTAAAATATAATACTGCGCAACAACGCGGCTTTTTGACTCAGCAAAAAAGTCCTCCGTAAAAGTCCCGTAAATGTACTTATTATAATATTATATACGTACCAAAAATATATGAGACGTATAAACCTACGAGTATCGCACGCTCGCCGACTAAAGAATCACCGACAGACGACCGACGTCACCGGGTCCGCATAGACAGTAATAATAATATTATTGTTACGATCACGATCGTAATACTTACACATCAATACATCATTATTATTATCATCATCATAATACGCACTACGATCGCGACCAAAATAGATCGAGACTGGACCGATGATCGATGGGGCCGTTCCAGAATCAACGTCAAGTCTAGATATGTGCCCCCCTCTTATAAGTCATCGACTAGCCATCCCACCATCCCCGTATGTCACGGTCACAGCATTTACGATGACTATAATAATATAATACACTCGTGGAGGTGGTGACTGGAGGTAGTATTACATATTATCTGCGGTGGTCGTGATTGTGAGTACCTACCTACCGCGTGAGTATTGTTATTATTATTACCTCAGATCATAATATTTTATATTATGTACGCTGAACACGATCTACTATTATGTATATCAAAACTACAACCTACTACCACTAGTATTCAATTATAAAAATAAAAATGACTTTATGATAAACCGATTGATGCGGTGTTTGAATTGTGAAAAGTTAGAAGGGGGATGACAAAAATGTAAAAAAAATTGAGTTCCTGAATATTTAAATGACTTATTGGTTAGGATACAATAAGAAGAGGAAAACATTTTTATTTTATTTTAAGCACTGCTGGTAGATGATTTCATGGATTACCTGGTCCCATAGACATATCATTTTGGAAATGTCAATATATATGGGCATTTTCCTCTAAAGCATAGAAAGAAATAATATTAAGATTTATTAAACTGTAATAGATAGTTTCTACTGGAAGTTCTAAAAATAGTTTTTAAAAATATATTAAGATATCATGATACAGAAATATTTAGTAATACAAGTAGTAATTACCAATTTGTATGCATTTATTAAGGCATCTGGCTACTGTAGTACTAATCTACAGTAATGAACGATGAGCCACGATGATAATAATATATTACGTCATATTCATATATTATGTATAAATATTATTTTGTAGCAGGCGCCTCGGCCATTTCCCTACGCACATAATATCATAATATAATATATTATATCATTACCTACACACTTCCTTGCAAAATACTGTTTCGATTCTCAATTAATTGTATAATGAGTATTATACGACTCCACAAAAACTCTGTAGATCTTTAATATTTTTACAGTGCGTGACGTAATACAATACATGAATCACAATCGTATTATACGATATTAATATGATGATGTTATGCATTTACGATAAAACTACTATATTAAAAAAAAAAAATCATACTAACGTTTGGTGATTGGTCCTTCGTCAGACATATCTACTATTATATTAATTATATTATTTTATCAATAAACAAGTAGAAACAACAGTCAACAATAAACACGTTAGAAAATCTCACTCTTGCTAAATTCCCGATTTCTAAACGTATTTTAATATACAACGCATTAAACTATAATTCCATATAATATAACATACAATTGATATGGTAACCTTTATATTTTGGTATCTTTATTTTTAATACTGGTTAGTATGAATCTTACCTATAATATTAAATACTAATATTTTGATATTTTTTTAATACTGAATGAATACTAATGAATTTATTTTGCATTTAACCGTTGAAAAATGTCTTATTTATTCAACTGTAGTACCTACTAAAATATCCATACTAAAAAGTCTCCAGATAAATGTATTTCTAGTTTACTATTTTGAATTATGAATACTAACACCTATTAAATTGTAAACTAATATCAACTATCTAGAAACAATTATATGTATTATGTGCAAGTAACTAACGGACGAACGGACACAATGGAGATATAAGGCTTAAAATATTAAGGCGTTCTAAGCAGACTTATGTTTAAAAACCTAAAACTGAATTTTTACATACATTTTTGTTTTTTTAGTGTTCCGAAAAACATCGTTATTAATTTTATTTCAATCTGTAATATAAATAATAATATATTATAATAGTATAAATAATAAAATGGTAGATTTAAATACGAACAATTTAAAGTGTTCTCCTAAAATTTTAATCGACATATTTTACTAATATTTTTTAAATATCTGTCGCATTAGCACAACTAGCTAGTGGAAGGTGAAAGATCATTAGAATCGCATTTGACTGTTTATTAGCTGCAGCTAATTCATTAACTGAAGTATCCAAACTCGTGTATGATAAATAAAATAAAAAAAATTCTCGTTTTCTACGTACCTATAATGTGTATATAATATATATATGACGTGATAAGATATATAAATATAGGTTTTATAAACTTCGTAGGTACCTAACTGGCCGACTATAGTCGCATTCATCTTCGACCGCATTAGTAACGGTCACTATACATTAAGTATATAAAAAGCGATTTGCTTTAAGATATTTTGCTCTTCAACGGTACTTATATCCGTCGGCTGCACTCGTTTTCGATCAGTTCGAAGAAAATTGTAAAATTATTTTCATATACTCGTAAATACAGCATAATACAAATCAAACGCGATTAAAGACTGGAGATTGATTTTAATCATGAATAAAAAATAAAGAAATCCTTCGCTCAGAATCGTTTTTCGTATTCAATGATTTTATATTATTTAATTCAAATTTAACACCATCCATTACAGCAGCAGTTCCCAAATTTTCTCAGCCTCGGAACCTTTTTTAAGAAGTTTCTCGTGGAGCCCTCAAGAAATGTTTAACTTTAATTTTTATCTGCCTGTGTTCTATCTTCTATGAAGTATAATAAACACAAATTGTATTCATATGGCAGTCAAAATAAAATTATATTTAGGTATGAATAAAGGTGAAACAATAGTATTTAAAGAACTGGAAAAAATATTATTTATTATTTAAATCTACAAAAGGAGAATATTTAAAAATAATACATCTAATTATATTAATTTTCGTTAACAAAAAATTTGTGGTGTTACGAACGGAGCCCTTGGTAAGCCATTACTGAGCACCAAGGGCTCCTTGGAGCACAGTTTAGGAACCACTGCATTACAGTGACCCACTTGTAACCTACTGTACAGCAGAGCGACATCCACTTACCCTCTTTTTTTTTATTCTTTCAAAAAGGTATTTACCCCCACATGTTTGTATGAGGAGAAAGTACAACCCAAAATATTGACTTTAAAAATTAATATTAAAAATAATCAATGTATTGTCATTGGCAAGTGACTAGTTGTCATAGGTAATTACTAATATAATACCAGTATGTTAATAAAAAAACAGGTGTTTTAAATCGCCAAAACTTAAGTGGTCTCCATAGATAAGTTACTAAAGGGATAATAAATCTCTTTGATCTGGTATAAAAGTCTAATATGTATGATCATAATGATAAATATTTTGATATTGTTATAAATTGTTTCAATCGTACAATTCCGATTACACGGCGTCGTAGATAGGCTACCAAATGTTATCACTGTTGGAAAAAAAATCGAAAAAATATGATCTACTCATAAAATTGCTTTCAAATTAGATCCTTGCCCCTAAAATTATTTATTTATAACATACTTAGAATTTTTTTTTATTGCTTGTAGCAATTTAGCATCATATTAAAGCAGTATGCTACTATTCTATCTTGAATCAGCCTATTATTAGCCTATATTTAATATGTATAAGAATAATTATCAGCCATAACTATTTTATTCATAATATATAATATGTATATACATATATTATATATTTTATTATATACAAGAAATATTAACCATTAACAAAGAATGCAACATTTTTGAATTTATTTTATGATTACCTAAAAATATATTATAACATTTTCCCTCTGTTTCATCTAAATTATTCTCATCTATCAGTTCTCACTACATTCGGACATTGATATTACACCCCGCAGGTTATGAGTGCACTTAATCCTAACTCGTTTTTTACACTCATGTAAATAAAATGCACACTGCTCCATTATTATATGTTATGGAATTTGAGTAGTTTTTTAGACTGGTGATACTGCCCACTCATAATAATTTTCCGGCCTCTAGTCGTGTACGCCAATGCTGTCAGATGAAAATCGATTTTAATTAATAGGTAATAAATTATTTGTCAGGTTATAACTCAGGTTAAACTCATATGAAACATAGTACACTCGCTAAAAATACTAAAACGAAACAACAAAATAACTAATAAGCTTAATACGATAAGCACTAATGATTAAATATGAACTAATCATGATACAAAGTAAGTTTCAGACAAATTAAGAAATTATTATTAAATTATTATTTTATTATCAACCAGTAATAGTATATTTTAATATTTTATGACTCAAATTAAATTAAAAAAATTAAAATGAGCTAGAGTTGAGGAGTTGAGCATACCAGACTACACACGAATTTCTGATGAATAAAAGTGACCCTTCCTCATTTTCGAATTCGTCTAACTTACGTTTAACATAGTAAATTTTATGTTCCGAATAATCAATTACTGTTATTTTAAATTTTAGTGTAATTTGCCAGAATACCATCAAATTTAAAGCTAAATATATTATTTTAGGCCTCACATTGGATCTTTTTATATTTTAATTTTAAAACTAGTTATGGATAATTTTAAATT